TCTCAAAACTCTTCACGGTGTCCAAAATCTTTTGTCAGCTATCTATGATCTATCTACCATTTTCAGGACTTTATTGTCATCTTTTCAACACTGAAAAACACATTTTTATTACTGATTTATTTATGACTGACTTTGTTAGTACATTTTTTAATTTTTTTTTCAAACTTATTTAGCCTTTATTATAGCTACATTATTTTTATAAAAATACATTTTTAAATAGTATCCATTTATCAAATTTATAAATCAGAATCATAAAATAAATAGTAATTAATTTTACGAAATATGTAGATAATAAATGAGTAGTTTTTATTGGATAATTTGGCTCATAGTTTATATCCGCTAACAAAAACTATAAGCACCAATTTAGACTTAGTAAAAACGTAAAAATTAGAAGGAGATGAACTGAAGCGACTTAAAACAGATTTCCCTCCTGTACTAGTGCTAATGAAATTAAATGGATGTTCGTTTCAAAGATACAACGCTTCTTCCTAGATTCATTTTACCAAGCGAATCAATGCTTAATTATACTTTTCTAGAACGGAAGATATTGAAGACTAAATATCAAGTACGAAACTCATAATTTGAAAATTATTTTGATAGAATTTGAAAAATGAAGAACTATAAATTAATTATATTGAATTGATTTGATTTGGAGTGAAGAAAATTGGATTAGGATAATCCTATTTGTAGATTTTTCATGTTTCTTTTCGAAGTGTTGCATCTTATGACACAAATAATATTAATCATTAGATCATACCATTTCATGATTAATTGTGTACATTGCACTCTATCAAAAGGTAACACCCATTTCGAAACAAAATACTCTTTGATATGCATCATTTACAAATGAGGAGTTGTGACTAGCCATCTCATCAATTGAAGACTTTTTCCAATTCACATCTGTGAAAATATCACATAATTCCAACATTTTTGAATGTGTGTTTGAAATTAATATTTGGCTTTGGTTGAGTTTATAAATATTTTACAAATTGGTTGCCAAACAAAAGATAAAGACTTAAGGGCCCATTCCATATGACTTTTGAAACGTCAGAAGTTGGCTTAGAAATTAAGAGATCGTTTCTTAAGCTATTCAAACTGGTTTCAAAAAATGGTTTTTGGAAGTACTTTGAGTTCATTTGGTAGGACTTTTGATTTTGCTTCTATTTCTATTTCTATTTCTTGTTGAAGGATTAAGGCCCTGTTTGATTGGGTATATTTTCCATGGAATTCCATTTTCTAACTTTTGTATTGTTTGATAGCAAAGGTATTCCATGGAATTCATTTTCCATCCTTTCTCCACACATGTGCATTTTCCACGAATTGGTGGAAACCAATTCTCATCCCCTTTGGGTGAAAATTTGTTTTCTAGCTTTTTATTATTATTTTTTTATTTTCAGCATTGGGAACAAATTTTATCAACAGTTGTAAAAATATTTATTCCTTTAATTGACAATTTTCATAAAAAAACAAAGTTAAACAAGCACCAAAAGATCCAAAATTTCAATATTTTTTCAGATGAAAAATTATACCAATAAAACATATTAATTGAAAATTCTCAGGAAAACAAGTTTTAGACAATTTAATTATCTGAAATTCATTTTCTTTCCACATAAATTCCATCATTGCAATCAAACGGATCCCAAAAGTTTTTCAAGCCAGAAAATATACTTATACTTTCAAAAAAGTATCAAAACAAGTAAAAAAGCAATTTTTTAGTCTTGTAAGTAGTTTTGAACTTTTCAAAAGTCTTATAAATGATTCTCTTGTACGGTTAAAATGCTTTTTAAAAATATTATAATCGAAGTCTAAATTGTGAGTTAGTGAATATAAGAAGTACTAATTTGATCTCTTACTCATAATGAACACAAATTATAATGCTCATTTTGGATGTGGCAACGTGTGGTATTGCTACGTTACATGTTGCAGCTATTACCTCCTCCTGCTCGGACAGGCGATCATGTTTGATAAGTGGTAATGTAATAATAGATGTCTTCAAACTGCAATTTCATATAAAAATATTTTTATTCCAAAATTCTACATTAGAGTGCTTTCAGCATAGGCGGACGCAGAATTATGATTTAGTGAGACGAAATAGAAAATCGGTTAAAATAAATTGTGAAAGATACTAAAAAAACTGAAAATTTAAATTTAAAAAAACCTGATCGAAGGTTTTTGGAAATTCATGAGGGCGACCGACCCGACTCGACCCTTAATGAGTCTGCCCCTGGCTTTCAGAAGTGTTTCTTGATATCATTTACGTGCTACTTTTAGAAATAAGAACAATAATACTTATGATAATGCAAGTGGGTTTGTTTCTTTTGTGCTACTTGATCTGAACAAGTTTTTAGGGGGTCAGAATATTCGGCTTACGACACAATGAAATCGATGGATCTTGAAACTCCATTGGTTAATGGGGGATAAAGATTCTAGTATATGGCCATTTCTTGAATGGGATGGACAAATTTCAATGGATATTTTCCATCACCAGCTATCAATCCCTTTCGTATTGAAAACATTGTTGGATGACGTTTCGAAAAGGCCAACCCGACTGTTTAATGGACCCAGGACATTACTGTCCCACGAGGGTTGGATCAGGTGGTCCATGTAAAGAGGCCCAATAGGCTGGACAAATTATTAAAGAATTTTAAGTGAAAAACTTCTCCAAAGTTGGGAATTCAATAATAGATTCTTGTTGATTTTAAGTTCAACGTGTTTATTTATTTATTTATATTTAAAATTTATTGTCCATAGTTGATTTTGTAACATGGATTATGCACCCCCAATTACTAGGGTTCCATTTGAGCCACATTAATAGGAAAATGAGAATGAAAAATATAGCCGTTACGAACCCACACAAGAGATAGATTTTCAAATATGGTGGTTTGATGTGATGGATAACGATCATATTTTTCATTTTAATGAGTAAATAATGAGAAACAAACGAGGACTACATGTGTAAACTGAAACATGTGTAATCGGCATTGGGATTAGCATAGTTTTGTTCAGTCTTTAAGTGTGTTCATTCTGTATTCAATTTTTTTTCTTTTTGGCAATCTTGTATTTTAGTTGTTTATTCAAAATAAAATTATCATTTCTTCATTTCTAAGTCTTCTATCTCTACTACTGTACCCCTGGCCCTCTTTTGGTGTATATATATATATCCTTTGAAACTAGTCCATCCAATTCAAGAAATGGTCGTATACTAGAATCTTTATATCTATAATTTTGATGGATTTGAGTGGCCAACCTCAAGAATGGCCTCCAATGAGTTTGATTTCCTCATTGCTTGAGAGATTCCAATCGTTATGGCTGAGCTTGCACAAAAGGGGTTAGGAAAGTTGTCCTGGGTTCCCTTTCGATGTGAGAAAGAGTGATTTTAGTAAGATATAATGAATTAAAAGAACATTTATAGATTATAGTATATATGGAATGTTCTAACCCTTTTCTCTTATTTAAGGTCATCTCTAATACTATCCTAAAACACCTTTTTACACAAAAAATGGTGCAAGCTCTCTCAACCTAACATCAACTCACCGGTGGATCCAAGGTGGCTCATAGGGGTCATGTGACCCACCAATTGTTTTAGGAAAATTTTGGAAAAGCCCATGAAAAATATTTGTCCATTGATACATATATGCTTGGCGAGTAAAACAATTTTTTTTTTTTTCAATAATAAAAAAGCACATGTCCAATTATCTTGTCAAACCGACCCTTAACTTCAAAAAAGCCCAAATCCGAAATTTCTCTATCCTTTCTCTCTCTACTCCAAACCATTCAAAATCTCATCAATCGCCTATTGCCCCCATTGTAGTCTGTTGGTTACTCTTTCATGTTGCGTGTTTATGTCCAAATAATCATTCGCTGCTCTTGACAAGAATAAAGTGATTCGACTATGTGTGCATATCCGATAGAATTGGATGCAATAGATAATCAACACTTGATGATCAACTTGGTATACATATTCTTGATATGTGCATTGACAAAGATTTTGGAGAATTACAAGACTTTAGTGATCTTGCACAGAATTTGCAAAAAATAAACATGAAGTGTATTTTAGTCTACAAGCTAGTGAATTGTCCTTAATTCTTGTCGTGGTTACTATTATTGTCAAATTAGCGATTTTGTGGTTAAATGATAGTTTAATTGCACATATCGAGAAAATGATATAATTATGTAACGTTATCAAAGTATGAGAATGCATATAAAAAAAATTGCAATAAGATATCAAATGCTTTAATTTTTTCACAATTTTTTTGGCAAGTTCGATTGTACCCCCATCTTAAAATGTTTGCGCTTGCAGTGATCATAGTTTGCACCATTTTGGTGTAAATGATTAGTGTTGCACCATTTAAAAATGATGAAGCAATTTTGAATGTATTGGTTTAGAGATAATTTTTAATTTGGTACAAAATTTACCTCAAATTTTGATGCACTGTTATATATGGCCTAAAGATCCCTTGTATAAGATTTATTTGTTGGTGCCATGTGAAATATGTACCTTAGGGTTCTTTAATATTTAAAAGAATAAAGAAAGCAGGAAATGAGTAGATCTGTTAGTCAAGGATAAGACCAACTCTACCACGACCAATGTGGTTCACTTCCTTATAAGCTTCCACCTTCTTTAGCGATCGACTATGATCTACTTTGAACTTAGAGGAGTCCTGCCCACTTTCGTAGAAATCGATCGCCATTTGATGTTAGTGTCTTAAGGTGGTTTGACGACAATTGATCTTGATATTCGAGCTCGTTAAATGTTGTCAACTCTTTCATTAATTCGAGACGACAATTTCATTCAAAAGCAAAACATAGTGTTAATGAGTTGGAGAACATAACAATAAGTCAAAAGTCATTCTCTTCTTTATGATATTCCAAAACAAGAAAAGAATCCAATACTAGACTTCTTTCAAAAGTTCTGTAGTATAAGTTTTCAATTCAAACTTTGATACACTACACAATGGGGATTAAAAATAGATTTTAAATAAGTTTTGATAAAGTTTACTATGAAATCCATAAAATATATAGGTAAAATTGATTGTTGATTTTGATTTAAATTTACCAAGGGGCATAAGTAAAAAGAGGACCTCAAACCGGTTTTCAGTAAGTGGGGTCCTCACCCCAAAATAATAACCTGTTTGGGAGTGATTTTTTTCCCAAAAAATTGATTTTTTGACCGTTATTTCATTGTTCCAGCCGTCATATTTGACTTCTTCTCTCACGGGTGGACCCCACTTTTCTTTTAACGGTAAAAAAAATCAATTTTTAAAATCACTTCCAAACGGGCTCTAAATTTTTTGCAATTAAAGGTCAAAAAAAGGGTCAACTACGTGCTATGACGCCAACCTAATCGAGTATCTAATGCAACGGCTCCATTACTATTTTTTGACTTTTTGGCAACTTTAATTCATCATTTTCCACCACCGGTTCACCAGTTAACCCGCTCCCACCGCACAAATAAAAATAAAGTTGGTCAATGTATATTTAAACTTTCTCTCTCTTAGACTTCCACGTGGAGTGATTTAACTGGATTCATATTTCCGAGTCAAAAGTGGACACTACATTGAGAGTTGAGAACAGCTTTTGTTTGACTTTCTCTCTGCCTATTTTTTATAACCTTTGCGCATTTTCAAGTTTCAATTCTCTTACTTTTCTTCTACACATCTCTCTCCCAAGTAAAATTCAAACTCTTCTAATTTCTTTTTCTGGGTTTTGTTAATTGTTGAATGATCTTGTGAAGATGGCTGTAGAGTTAATGCCGGGCTACAGGTTTACGTCGAAAACGGAAGAGAACGCCGCCCAAGAAGCTGCGGCGGCCGGATTTCAGAGCGTTGAGAAGCTAATCAGAATGCTTGCTCAACAAAATTTCCAAACACCATCATCTTCAAAACCTATGGATGTAATTAGAAACGCCGACTGCCAAGCGGTGGCCGACTTGGCGGTGAACAAATTCAGAAAGTTCATTTCTTTGCTAGACCGCAACCGGACCGGCCACGCTCGATTCCGCCGTGGCCCAATTAATATTCATCATCCGAAAGCTGAGCCACGATCTGAACAACTCGGTCCTAATCAAACCCAGAATTCTATGGTGCATCAGAATGTCTCAGAGGAAAAGGGAAGGGAAAATTCTAGTGGAAAAATTTATCGACCGACGCCGATTCAGAAGTTGCCTCCTCTGCCGCCAGTTAAAAATGGGTCGATCGAGAGAAAAGAGTCGTCGACAACAATAAGTTTTGCTTCACCAGCGAGTTCATTTATCTCGTCGTTGACTGGAGACACTGACAGTCTTCAGCCTTCTATGTCGTCAGGGTTTCAGATCTCTGCCGGCCGTCCACCGCTATCAACGTCATCGTTTAAGAGGAAGTGTAGTTCAATGGATGATACAAACACCAAGTGCGGAGGTGGGTCTTCTGCAGATCGTTGCCATTGTCCCAAGAAAAGGTTAAATTTCAATCCTTCGAAGAAATTAAATGCAAAAAATATGATATTTAGGATCAGAATAAAGATTTTATTCATTGATTGATATTTTGAAATTTGATTTGAAATAGGAAAACAAGGGTTAAGAGAGTTGTTAGAATGGCTGCTATAAGCATGAAGATGGCTGATATTCCACCTGATGAGTATTCTTGGAGGAAGTATGGTCAAAAACCCATCAAAGGTTCTCCTCATCCTAGGTGAGTTCTGTGTGACTCAGTCATTGAATTGAATGACTCGTTTTATGATTGCGTTGACTCAATAAGGAAATACTAGTTGAATTATAAGCTGATTATTTCTTATAATTCGTTCGATTTCAGGGGATATTACAGATGCAGTAGCGTACGAGGCTGCACGGCCCGTAAACATGTGGAGCGGGCTTTGGATGATCCAACGATGCTAATTGTGACCTACGAAGATGAACACAATCATGCCCAATCTAATTCAGAAACACCAGCTGCTCTGATTCTTGAATCATCTTGATCTGATCAGAAAGTCGCACAATCTGACGGCCCATATTTGAGATGAAAGGTCTAAATATCGACCGTCGAAGGAGTGGAAAAAGAAGGACCAATTGGTCAACGCTTTTGATTCTCCTTTAATCAACTGGGGTCCATTTGTTTATTATTGTGAGGAAATTGTGGAGTCGAATCATATGCAAGTTATGGACTTTTTTTTGCTTCCTCAGGTTGTCAAATCTTTATACATAATTTTATTACAATTACCATTTTTCTTCATATTTTTTTGATGAATTTTCAACAAGTCCATAAAGACATGTTGGTTGAATAGGGGAAAAAAATGTAAAAAATTGGACATATCAACATGGGTACAGTTGACAATTTGGACCTTTATTTTGGCAAGTAAGTGGGTGGGTAAGCTCATTAACTTTGGACTTTTTGAGCGTAATGTTAGTACTAAAAGGGTAATGTTAGTACTAAAAGGGTAATTGACACAAAACATTCATACCTTTCAAGTTTATTATGAAAAACGTCTTTATCTTTTATTTTTTGACATTTTGCCCCTTTTCCAACTTTTTTTGAGCTAAACTTCATTTTTATTATTTTTTGACGTAACATGACCAAAATATCCTTCTATTCAAACAAAACAAAAAAAGAAAAGAAAAGAAAAAATTGCAACTAGAAGCTCAAACTTTCCATATTTGCAAATCAGCCTAAAATTGGAAAAAAAGGTCTTCCACACCTCACCCAGACTCCCATTCCATCGTCGGTCAAAAATCCTAAATTGCTTTATTTGAAAGATGAATTACAGCAATTGATTCACTGCCTAGAGTCGTTACACTTTGAATTGTATTTTAATTGAAGGAATTTGTTGATTGTAGATGTGGAGGAACACCAATTGAAAAGGGATCGAAGGGTTTTGCGTTTTCTTCGTTTTTTGAATGAACTACCATGTCCAGGCAAAATTGGGGAAGACCCATATGCTCATTGGATGCGCCATGAGGAGTAGGTACTTGAGGTGGTGGTCTGCCATCATGGGTCCCACCATTGGCGTTGAAAAATTCGCCTGAAAACTACAAAATGGCTATGTTCGAAGTCGCAACCTGTTCGGTTTGATTACGTGAATTAAATGACATTTGAAGACCATGGACAAGGACGTCTTGGTGTGTATATTTGACTGGAATGTTAGAAATGACATGAGTTTTGTCGGAACAGGTGGTGCCGCCCCGTATTTGCATTTGCGAGTTAGATATTTTGGCTTGCAATTTCTATAAAATCTGTTGACATGGTAATTGGATGTTGGGTGGTATGTGTAGAGGGGAGTGAGGGCTATCCGACGGTATGGAGGTCCGATGGTTTCGACGGTGGTTGACTGGAGTTTTTTGGCTTCAAAGTGGTGGTCGATTATAGGTGGTATAGTGACCATTTTTTTTTCTTTCAATTTTGGGCTGATTTGCACATATGGAAAGTTTGGGCTTATAGTTGCAATTTTTTTATTTTTTTATTTTGTTTAAATAGAAGGGTATTTTGATCATTTTATGTCAAAAAATGGTAAAACGGATGTTTAGCACGAAGAAAGGTGGAGATAGGGGCAAAAATGTCAAAAAATGAAAGGTATGGACGTTTTTCACAATAAACTTGAAAGATAGGAACGTTTTGTGCCAATTATCCGTACTAAAATATCTATTCAACTTTGTGGTTATTTTTGTACTTAAAATAATTGAATTATATGAATTTAAATCAACAATCATAGTTGTGAGAATAAAATCGGGTCCGAAGACTTTTTGAAAATTTAAAATTGACGATGTTGTGCAGGTGGATATCAAAGTCATGAGACACTAAATTTGATTATTACTCAATAATTTCTATACGAATCTTGAGATAATATTTTATTTCATCAACTTGCATTATTAAATTTTTGTTGTCACCTTTATTAAACTATAGTGTGTATAGATGATGTTTTGGCTGTATTTCATATTTCAAGATTAAGATAATATATTTCTCAATTGGCTCTTCTTCTCGTTTCTTTCAATATCTAGTCTAGTCAAAAAGATAAATGATAAAATAAGAATTTTTCTTTGAAAACTATGGTATCCTATGTTATAGATATCAGGGAATTTCGTAGAATTGTCCCATAAGTTGCTTAAAGCTCCTTGAATCCTTACAATTGTATAATGAGTCAATAAAACTTGCTAGCATGAACGTAAAATGCACACCAACATATTTACATACAATCTTATTATAGTGACTGGCTCAACGACGGTGTCAATAACAAAGAGACACATGCCAATACATGATTGGACAATTAAAAAAAAAAAAAAAACTACCTAATCTCGCCCTGTCATGCCACGCTCTCACCCCCTCTCTGTCAGCAATCATTGTCCAATGAGCATAATTGATTCATACATGGTGTAATTAAGGGATAATTGGTAGAGTTGCGTCAGTTCAATCTTTAAACACGAGGCGGTTCATCTTTTATAATCTTTTAAATTAATAAAATAACTTAAAAATAAGTCGATCTATGAACTCAAGACAACCGGCTTGATGAACCCACTAGCTGAGGGAGCTTGGCTAGTGAAAACAAAATTTAAGCTCAACTCAATCTATAACTCGTCTGAATACGAGCTTGAGAGGCCCCATGGAACGAATCGAGACAAGTGGACTAGCCGACGAGCCACTCGACCCATAGCCACCCTAGTTGTAGTCAGTTGTGACTAAAACAATATTTACGTGGTCCAATCTCTATGTCAAGAGGTTTTCAAAAGGAACTCTACATACGCTATGACTCATACAAGGGTCTACCATATTACAATTGATGACAAAATACTAATCCTCACTAGCATAGTATATAAGTTCTCAATCTAATACTGAATTACGGTGAGCTCCGTCACAAGAAACTCTTTATTGATTTTGAATCACATAAATGTTATTTCAAAATACTAATCGTTCATAAAAAAAAACCCTTTCTAGCATAATACACTATTGAATAAGTAATTTACATGTCCTATTTTTTAGCATCATCAGTTTCTTTCTAATTACCTAGTCTATAGGATTTGTTATTCAGTTCCTTTTTTAATGCTACTAGTCACAGGTGAATCTGAGTTACATGTTATTTTGAAATGCTTTATAAGTAACGTATGATAGTCCAAGAATTACTAACCAAGAGGATGGTGAATTGGTTTTTAAAACTTTTTCGAAAAATAAACTTAAATCAAGGAAACAAAGGATATGTTGATCAATTAATAATCACAAGCAAATAAAAGCAAGTGGATGAATTAATTAACAAATATAAATAAGATAACTATAAGTAAAATGGTAGAGATGATGCAAAAGATATAATTGTGAAAATTCAATCCAAATGAATGATCTATGTCCTCCGTTACCAAGCTCTCGGCACGAGCAAGCTCTATTCACTATATTGATTGACTTGTGGTACAATTCAATCATTTACAACGCTTTCGGTGACTTACAAAAAATGAGCACTGATTTTTATACAATTTTGAACTTTACGGGACTTCAATATGACTCACACTGTTGAGTTTTACGGGATCTCAATATGACCCATAAGGTGACTTGCAACAAGGAGAACCGATCTTTATACTATTGAGCTTTTACGGGACCTCAATACGAATTACAAGTTTAAGAAAAAAAATTATAATGAACTCCTCTCTTGATAAATGAAACAAGTGAACTAAGTACTAAGAGATGTTAACACTTCAATAAATAACAATAAAATGATAGCTGAAATATTAGATGAGAAAATTTTGATGAATATGATGATTTCAAATTTAATTTAATTAATCAAAATTTTACAATGTGAAGAAGAAGAAGAAGAAATAACTGCAATGTGAGTTAAAAATTTTTCTCAAAATATATCCTTCATTTAATGAATAATGGTAATAAATTAAGTACCAAAAGAGAGACGAGGAACTTTGATACATATTATGATTTTACAATTTTGATTCAATAAATCAAAATTTTGATATAGAGAAGTAGAAGAAATGATACAATGTAAGTTCAAAATTTTTCTTCAAAATATATCTCTCTTCGATGAATGATAGAAATAAGTTAAGTACAAAAAAAGTAATAAAAAACTTTGATGAAGATGATGAAAAGAGTTTGAATCAATCAAAGTTTTTGATATGAAAAAATAAATGAAACGAGTACAATGTAGCCTCAAAGAATAAATTATACAAATGTATTAAGTATTAAGAGATTCTAACACTTTAATGAATAACAATAAAATGATAGCTCAAGAATTAGATGAGAAAAATTTGATGAATATGATGATTTCAAAATTAATTTAATCGATCAAAATTTTTCAATGAGAAGAAGAAGAAGAAGAATTAAATGAAATGTTAGTTCAAAAATCTTCTCAAAATATATCTTTCTTTTAATGAATAATGTTAGTAAATTAAGTACGAACTTTGATGCATATTATGATTTTGGAACATGCACACGAAGAACTTCTTGAGATCCAAAGAATATTTTTAGGTTGTCTCCAACAGAATAGTAAAACCAGTTGCCGGCATGGCAATGACAAATTTGTAGAGAATAGAGATAGAAGGGCATCAGTTGAAGGATCTCAATGCTAAGAATTATCTTTTCCAAGCTATTGGAATCCATTCTTTTCAAGGACATCTCCAAGCATATTTTGAATTCCATGAAAAAGAATTACTATGGCACAATGGGCAAAAAGGCAATAGCTTCAAGCACTAAGTACAGAGTTCAAAATATTTCGAATGAAATCAAGAGAATTATTTACAGATTATTTCTCTTGAACAATATCGATTGTGAACAAGATGCGGATCCATGGTGACAAGACAAAGGATGCAACCATAGTAGAGAAGATTTTTTCAATTCATGACACCAAAAATTTAATTTTGTTGTTTGCTTCATAGAAGAATCTAAAGATATTGACGAATTACAAAGTTCTTTGTTGGTTCATGAGCAAAAAATTAACCCACAGGAGAAAGAGGAGCAAACATTGAAGGCCTCAATAGAAAATTACTCTATACCAAGTAGAGCTAATAGATGATGAGGTTAAGGTAGAGGAGGCAGAGAAAGCAATGTTTGTGGTAACCAACAACACCAGCATCAAAATAATCAATTTCAAGAAAGAGGAAGAGGACGATGAGGCCATCATTCAACGGTTTATAGACTAATGTCAGCAAATAAGTCCAATGTTGAGTGCTACAAATGTTATAGCTATGGCCACTATCAATTAGGATGTCAAACTAACATGTCTAAAGAACATGGTGAAAAATCAAATTTTGTAG